ATTTCTTCATTTCTCTTTAAAACAAGCTAGATATGAATCTGTTTTTCTATCAGCTTTTTCCTACACGAGGAAGCTTCCTCACGGGTTTTCATAAGTAGTCTGCGCAGATTATTTAAAAAGCGAACCAGTTGTGCGCATGAGCCCAAGTTCGATTTTTAAAAGTAATTGAGAGAAATGTATCATATACATATTTGAGAATTGAATATATAGTGTTTGACAAGAAACTAAGACAAATCAACCATATCCTTAAGTTTAACAAACTTTTAGACATATATTTGCTTCCACTTTCTAATTTTTAATAGATTTTCCAATAAATGGTTTTTTCGTAAACTGGCTTACCTTCATGGTGGTCTAATTAAACTACATTTAAAAAACCGTGTGGTGGCTTTCAGTTATAGGAGGCGTTGCATTTGCGGAGTGTGGAATATATACTTCCAATTTTAAAACTTTATCCATTTCTTTTCCCTCAGAACTCTTATACTAGCATTTTAAACAAAATTAGTTACTTTTCCAAAATCAGAACTTGTAGGTGTAACGAATATTTTGCAAACTCATAAACTGCAATCTTAATTGACAGCGAAGGCTTATAGCTTTTTTTTAAAATTTCGAATATTTTCAATGAGAGGTGAAAATTCTAATTTCAGTTTCTCTTATTTCCGAAGTTGATTTTGTGGCAGGTCGCTGTCATTTATCATTTCGTCGCTTTTGAAGCTCGGTTTTGGAATAGAAGGTTCATTCGTCATTTTTTGGACCGTTTCCAAAACCATTTAAAAGGTGTCTAAATATTTTTGAAATGCTTGATTGAAGATGAGTTCGAAACTAACGAGTTTGAATTCAATGAAATATAATTTGTTTGAATTGCTGAAATATATGTATCTGCTTAGCTAAACTTGAAAACCTTCATTTTTTAAAAAATTTATGCAAAAGCGTTTAACTTTGCAGTAATAAATGATAATTCCAAACATCTATTTATAAATATTATCTAAAAACTTATATTGTACACTTTATTTATTATATATATGAACTTATATTTTTGATATAAGTGTTATTTTTACATTGCATGTGGGAAACTTTTCTAAAAAATGTGTAACAGCTCTTATAGTTTAAAATTTTAAGAAAGTAGTAAGCAAGATTTCATAAAAGTTGATGCAAATTTGTTACCATAGATGCAATCCAATTTGAAAAAAAAAGATAAACGATTGTGGTACTGATTACATATACTGAGATGCCAACTTGCTCCGGACAGAAAATATATATTTTAAATTGGTAGTTTATCAATTGTGATTCTTGGTTTACTAAATTCAATTTAGTAGATTTTTATCCACCACTATTTCTAAATAATTCGTTGGCTTATGCAATTGGCCACTTTATAATTCTTATGTCTTGCTATACCTCTTAAAAAGCAAGCAAAAATAGTCTAATCATTAGCAAAATTCACTTTGTAGTTATTTACCGTTTTTTTTAAATTATTTTGGCGTGTCCAGAGCAGTTGGCATCTCTGCATATATACTGAATCATTTATGTTTGAGATAGTCATGAATGGATAATTTCTTTGAAAAACAGACTGGATACGAAGCTTTCAACTTTCGTATGATTCAAACTTTTGTATGGATCGCAGAAGCTTCAAAAAAATATTTTTACGTGACCCACTTGCAATATTTTATAATGTGGGAAAAAAAGTTATTTCTCTCTTTCAAAAGAAAACAAAGTGGATAAGAAATGTATATTTCTATATTTTTTATCTTTTGGTGTTGTCTGAAAAATCATTTAATAAAATGATTTGAGTTATAAGGGGAAATTAGAGCCCCTGAATTAGACACGCCGACTTATCATTTATTGTTACTTTCTTACTTACTTTATTTAAAATAAATTGGGTGCCTAGGCCGAGCAGCGGCCTCTAACCCTCCATCATGAAAATAATACAGTGTATATAGTCATTTTGAGTTATATGATAGTATGGTTACAAAATAATATTGCCATGACTAGAAAGTACAACTAGATCGAAGGTTTACATGAATTGCAAAGAAAATTGAGAATAGCCATGATTAGATATATCATTTATTGTTGGAGCAAAGAGTTAACATAAAACACAGCGAATAAATATTTTCAAGTGGTAGTTTATTAATTGTAATTCTTGGTTTAATAAGTTCGATTTAGTAGATTTTAATCCACCACTTTATAGTACTTATTACATGCTTTAAATTTTTAAAAGCAAGCAAATATTGACAACTATTTGCAAAATTTGCTTTGTAGTTATTTACCGTTTTTTAAATTATTTTGGCGTGTCTAGAGCAGTTTGAATCTCTGTAATGATATAGCTAATACTAACATAACGTTAACTTGCGAACTTGTTTGTTTCCAATATTGCTTGTTAGGCATACCTGCCAACTCTTTCGGATTTTCCCGAAGATTTTATTTTTATACTTAAAGTGGTAGTAAATATATACTATTTTTTTCTTTTATAAACTTAATTTTTAATGATTTTAATCACCACTATTCTTACAAAAATTAAGCAAATATATTAATATGCGTTACTATCATGACTGTCAACTTAAGTTTTCTCAATTACAACGTACTTGTTTGCTTAAAATTTAAGTTTTAATTCCATTTTAATACCACTGGGAAAAATGATAATGGAAGGGATTAAAAGTTGGCAGGTATGTTGATAGGTCAGCTCTGATAGTATAGGAGCCTTAGGGGATTTAGTTTATGGTGAAAATACGTAATATCTAGTTTCTACAAGATAAATTAAATCAGGAAAATTTTTTTTGAGTTACCAGTCTGAATCTGTTTGGATGAAGTTTATGAAAATGTGAATCTTAATAAATTGCGTAGTGTTAAGTAGCTTTTAAAACATTCTCCAAGAAACAATTGTGATATAATCTTCAATTTTAATATTAATCTTTTTTTTAAAAAATAAGTTTTTAAATTTTCTACACGCTATTTCAAATAGACCAAACTGGTACTGTGAAAGATACATACTTATATATTCTCTGTGTTTGACTGTTAAGTTTTACCTGTATTACATATTCTGCTTTAACATATTGAAAGTGATTAAGTTTAATCTGTGTGCCATAATGAATGCCCCAATGATTTACGACGGAACTGATATGGTAAATTACATAGACACTCTCTCTTGCACGGCGATGCATATTAGTTGCTCATCTGCATATTGGGGACTAAATACGGGTGGAACTGCTTATAATTTAATCCTAGAGTTTATTGAAGTCAGTAAGTTGTAGTTAGAGCTACAACTTAAAATGTAGTTCACATTGAATTAATAACATCGCACAATGCTGTAAAATTCGCTGATTTATTTGAAATTATAATTTATATTTTAATTTTGGAATTTTTACTTTTATTTATATCAATTTATATATTAAAAAAAATATATGATTTATATTTTTACATAGAATCGAAACTAATAAAAAAGTATCTTATTTAGTGTTAACATTAGTGCAAAATGCATCTTATTTAAAAACTTGTCGTTACAACGCAGCAGCCAGCAAAAAAGTATGTTTTAATCTTGGAATGAATAGAAAAGAAATATTATAAAGTAGTGGTCAATAAATCTTTCGTTTTTTGTGATTTTAAATAAATTTATAGCCGACCAGTTGGCCGAGTGGTTAGCATGTCTGACTGCGGAGCCATTGGCGGCGGGTTCGAATCCTGCTCAGGGCATGGATGTTTCTTTCTCTCTCTGTGTTCTATGTCCTTTCCTCTTTCTGTGAATGTGACCAGCCATATAAACGGGTTTGTGGTTGTGTGACGTGGGCGACGCTGCTCCACCACCGTGACTTCGCCACAGGTGCCCACTGGGTAACGAGAAGAGAGTAGCAGTTCTGGAATTTCTGTGGAAAATGGGACAAACCCCAAGTGCCCGCCATTATATATAAAAAAAATTATATACATTTTGAAACTTTGTTGACTACTCCTTTGCTTAATTTGAAATGTTAACTTAATTTGAAATGTTTTTCATCTCCTATGATAACACAACATCTATCAACGTAGCTACTTTTTCCAGGACTCTATCTTCTAGCCATGGTAAGAATGGAACATAATTTTGACCCCGGTCAGTCAACGTGGACAGCGCCTGAGCTGATGCCTTCTTTCTAAATTTCTAAAAGGATTNTAACGAGAAGAGAGTAGCAGTTCTGGAATTTCTGTGGAAAATGGGACAAACCCCAAGTGCCCGCCATTATATAAAAAAAAAAAATTATATACATTTTGAAACTTTGTTGACTTTGTTGACTCCTTCGCTTAATTTGAAATGTTAACTTAACACAACATCAATCAACGTAGCTACTTTTTCCAGGACTCTATCTTCTAGCCATGGTAAGAATGGAACATAATTTTGACCCCGGTCAGTCAACGTGGACAGCGCCTGAGCTGATGCCTTCTTTCTAAATTTCTAAAAGGATTCTGATATAAATATATTTGTATATTAGCAGCTTATACGCGTCAGTTGCTTTGTTGGCTATCAGGATCAAACTTACAACCAGCATTATGAAAGACGCGGCTGCTACACCAGAGCACGCCAATGATACATAATCTAATTTAATTGTATATTTAAGGATCTACAATTAAGAATTTGAAAGATAAAAACTGGGGAATTTTGTAAGAATTTATTTAAAATATCAAAAATTTTGCTTGTTTGTATTTGGCAAAAACGAGTTAAAAAAATAAAGCAGGGACATTATTTTCTTTTAAAAGGGAAGGTCTCATTAAAAAATTTAAAAATCGATACCACAGCCCATTAAGTATGAAAACAAATATAGAAGTAATAAAATAAGATAAAATATTCGTAATCAACAAAAAATATTATATAAATATTTACGTTTGAATCAAAAGAAACAAAACTTTATTCTACCAAAATAGCAACTAGGAGAATAAAACATTTACTTTATTTCAACGAAGCACTACTAAAGTTAAAAGTTGGCAGTTAATAAAATCATTATTAAGTGTATTTTTTCTGCAAGTAACAATCTTTTTTTCTTCAGGGTAACAGTGCCTGGTATGGGACACAGAGAAAATCTAGGCTGTACAGTAATAAGCGAATCCTTAACATCATGGCAGGGCATGGGATTGGAATTAGTCTTAACATTTATAGTAGCTTTCACAATGTGTTCTACGGCTGATCCTAATCGAAAAACTCTTGGAAGTGATGCCTTGGCAGTAGGATTCGCTTATTTAGTGTGCACACTAATTGCGGTAAGTATTGTAGTATTTACTGCAATTTAAAACACGTACTGCTTCCAGGGCTTTAAAATTTCTAAATTATTACATGCGCTACAGGGCATGGTAGACTATAAGAGGCATGATCGAATGAAACTTCCACATGTGCGTACGTTTTTTTCGAAGATAAAAATAGAAAAGTGCACTGGTTTTTAATCTGTCAGAGAAAATTAAACTAACGACATTCTATCTGTATTAACGCTTTTATTGTAAGTATGAATCAGAGATATTTAAGTGCTATTATAAGAGACTCCAACTATTTGAGGCTGTTGCGAGTTGAAACAATCAGATTTTTTAAAAAAAATATTAGAACTTAATTTAAACCTTCATCTATTTAATCTTATGGCAGATGATTCAGTTTAAATTATTTGTATTTAGTAGTGGGCAAAGTTTTTTTTTTTCAATTCTAATTTATTAAAACATAAACACATTACTTTTGTGACTGCTGGGAAAAATATTTTCTGCAAAAACGGCGAATCCTTAGTAGTTGGAGTCTTTGGATTATTAAAACGAATTATTAGGTTATGTAAACTTTAATAAAAAAAGGTATTTAGGAAAAATGCAGGCGATAATCAAACCTTCTCTCAGTATGTTAAAAAAACAAAGAAATGAAAGTAAACGATAACCAAGCCTTTTCAATATGTTAAAAAGCAAAGAAATGAAAACAAGCGATGACCAAATTTTTCTTTTCAATATGTTAAAAAAACAAAGAAATAAAAATAAACGATATCCAAACTTTCCTTTCAATACGTTAAAAAACAAAGAAATGAAAACAAACATGACTAGGATAATAAAAGGAATAAATTAACGTTGTTTCCCCCCAGAAAGTATAATTTATACAATTAAATTCAGTTACACATAGGTCTTGTCAATTATAGTCGAATTTTTTTCCTCACCTTTTTTGCTATTGTTTATTCACTCCATCAGATATTTTGCAAATTTCAGACAAAAAGTACAAGGGCTTTATCGGTATTTTACAGTTTTTCTGATAAAATATTTACGTTTTATGTAAAAAAACAAATTAATTAAAAAAAGTCAAATTATCATTAAGGAACCCAAACTTTTACTCACTATCTTGTATAAATTATTTAGATAGACGATTTTTTTCTCGATTACAGTAACCCCATTATCATAAGTCAAGGGTTAAAATTGAAATCCTACAAAAAAATATATGTATATATTTTCAAAAAATCGGTGCATTTTTGTGCCTGATTTCATAATTTAATTAATAGTTAGCACCAGGTAATTAGGATATTTAATATTAACTTAGTCAATTAAAATTGAATTTTTGTATGTGAAAATAGGGTTGTTAGAACAAAAGTTATTCAGGTTGATAGATCTTCTTTAGCTAGTTCATTATGATAAAATTTTTTTCAAATTTTACATTTAGTTACCAGCCACTGGTGCTTCTATGAATCCTGCACGTTCTTTGGGACCAGCATTTGTAATGAATACATGGACAAACCACTGGGTACGTATAATTAAAGAATCTACAATGATCTATCATATACGCTTTTTTTCATATACTCTCATATATGATCATATACGCTTTTTTTCAATTTTCAATTACCATTTAGATTCTAAATGGTAATTGAAAAGTTGAAAAAAAAGCTTATATATATGGGTCATTCTCACGAAAACTGTCATTTTTCAGTTTATAAAATCCCAAAAAAGTAAAGTGAATAAAAAGCTCTGAAACTTTTTATATTAATAGAAATATGTAATGGCATTATAAAGAAAGTATATATCCTATAAATTATACTTAATATTTTAATTAATTAATTTTTTAAATAATTAATTTATAATTAATTAATTTATAATAATTAATAATTAATTAATTNGACCAATCCTTTCATATGCTTCACCAACCTTGTGCACTATTCAATCACATCTAATAAAAAACTAAATGCTTGTCAAAACAAAATCCTAAAAAAAAAAATTAATGCCAGATGGTTAATCCGAAATACAAACATCCATAAAGACCTGGATATTTTGACCTTATCACAACATATATACAAACTTAACGCAGACTTCTTTGACAAAGCAATCAACTGCTGTACAGCTAATTTTAATCACATATTCAATTACAAAAACTACAGTAAAGATCAAAACCTTCGACCAATAGCAGCACACTTCACAAGCGACGCCTCATATCAAAGCTATCATAATATATAAATAGATAAAGTATAACCTCACCAATTTACAACGTCATCAACTCCTACATCAATTTATTCAATATTCAGCTTCAGTTTTTCAGTTTCAACTGTACCTCAAACTTCAACTTAAAATTCAACTCCAACATCGCAAACAGCATAACTTCAACAACTCCGACTACTCAACTATAAAAAAAAAAAAACAATCTTGGCGTTTCCTCATACTGAATACCTCACCTTCATTTACTATTTCAACAATTGGAGAATTTTTCTGAGCAAACTACTCGTATTATTTCAAATTCAATTATTTTTTCAAACAAGGTGCTTGTTATTTCAACCAGCTTGTAAAAAGGTAGCTAACCACAAAGCTCCATCTTAAAGTTTAATAAAATACATGATGAATGAGGTCCAGATGCCCAGTTTCCAATTGATACTAGTACTAGAATGTACTGTTGAATGCCTTGCATGACTAAAACTTTCAATCGAAATTCGATATTTCGAAAATGGCTAATCAAAAATTAGAACATAATTTGGAGCCCAGAGTTCTTTTAAAATTATTATAGTAATAGTTAACTTATCATCAATGGAATTTCAACTGCTTCATGGAAAATTTAACTTTATCAGTAGTTTTAACTGTTTCTGCACAACCAATTAAATGCTATAAATTCTTCCCCCCCTCCCTGAGAAATATTTTTTTAACTGGATGCATAAGGCCGAAATCGGCCTTTACCCGGCCTCATGAAATTTTACATTGAGGTAATACAATAAAATAATGGAAATATATACTATATGTAAAGAAAAGAGCTTACCCCCTCTGTGGAAGTTCAGAAACAGCCTAGAAAACTGAATACGCCACAGTTGGTTATGTCAGTTGACATGCTGGGCATTCATGAGAAGCCCACATTGTTTTTGTTTCGATGATTTAACATACCTTAATTTTTGAAAATTAAGCACAATAAAGTTCTAAAAAATCATAGTTGAGCCAATAAACAATTGTATTAAAGTCATATAAACATAGCTTGAAAAAGAGTAATGAACATAACTGGGAGTAGTAAAACACTTTTTGGCAGTTGGTGAATCTTAATTTCTCAGATGAACTATTACTAGCAAACCATTCAGAGGATAAAAGATTCGCATTTCATTACGAACAGGTTGACTATAAACTCAAGTGCTACTACTAGTCTTCAAGTCGGTGAAACGTTCAAGTTCCGCTACTACTTCAATTCATCACCGGTCGCTTACTCGGCGTAAATCTGTGCTTTGTCCCGATCAGTAAACCGCATACTATCTTGAAAAATTCTGATCGAAATATAGTTCACTTATCAACAGCGTTAAGATGTCAAATGAAAAATCAGTATTCATCGAGAATTTTTACAAATTAACGTAGCAAAACGATTCATTTGATCTGTGTTGACCTGTAATGAGAAGCCAATAACATAAAGAATAAACTGGACTCTCCACTATTTCATTTTAAAAACATGACAGAAATTTTTACACCACAATAACATTTTTGGGAGGCCACTTGACTCCCTTACATAACCAAAAAGTTGGATTCATCTGATCTGTGTTGACCTGTAACGAGAAGCTAATAATATAAAGCTTAAACTGTTTACTCCACACATCATAGCATAATTTTTTATATCTGTTTGATTTATAGAATTATTGTGGTGATCAAAAATGTTTAATTTTAACATTTTAAAAACATCAAAAGCATGACTGAAGGTCATGCACCACAATAACAATTTTGAGAGACCACTTGACTCCCTGACATAATCAAAAAGTTCCGCGAGAAATCTAACTTTGTTAATCAATATTAAAACTGGTTGAATCATATTTCACATTTTCGATGACACTGGGAATCACGACGCAGAAAGCAGATTTTGCTAACCATGTAGCAAACTAGCTTCTTCAATGGTTCGGTGTCCAGACAAATCAATATTTTTTAAAAGCTATCCAATGATACCAAACTCGAACCCCCCCCCCACCATATGGTGGGATACAGGGCAACTTTGAAATCTTAAATATTAACTTCGATTTTTAATTGCAGATTTGGATTTTCCTGAAAAAAATTAACTCAATTTGAGTTATAAGTTTATACATTTTACTTCCCAGACAGCGTTGCAACCAAGAAAAATTAAATTGTGCACAAGCAGCGCATCTTGAGATCCATCAGATTAAGAACATAACAATAGAGCATGTTTTCAATTTCTTAAAACGAAATTTAATTTTTTTCCCAAAAAATACCTAAATTTTTTTAAATTTCTATTTTTTTTTCCATTTCTGATGGGTCTCGATGGGCCGTTCTAAAATTTTTGTACTCTATTTTAACACGCCGTCCCTATTTCACCATACTGCGCCATCTGTGAGTACAAAAGGGTTATTTTTTCTAGGAAATCCGAATCTGCAAAAAAAAATAGGGGTTCATATTTAAGATTTCAAAATTGCCCCATTACAGGGGTTGGGGGGGACAGTTCAAGTTTGGTATCATTGGATAGCTTTTAAGAAAATATTGAATGTTTCTATGCTTATCCCTAGTTCCATACAAGAAAGGGTGGCGGAATGAAGATAACTACTTGGCTCCATCAATTACTATTGATTTCTCCTTGCATAGCAGTCTTTGGTTTACTCTAGGCGCTTTCATGCAACAGGGTTGTGACATTTGCCCCAGGTACAAGGGAATTTGAATTTAGGCATAAGTGTATTGGTGTACCGTTTGTGCTTTTCTTATCACCTTTGAAGTAAATGGTCGATGTATTAATTTTTTTATTTGTAGCTTTTTTTTATAAATATATAATAAAACATTTTCAGCTTGCATATTGTATTCCCGCACATAGTTTGCACATAGTTTAATTTCGAACATTTTTCAGCTAGTGTGGTTACTCTTTTAAAAACTTAAATAAATAATTGAAAATAAGTATTATGTTAAGTATTATTAATTAAATACTTCGTTTCTCTTTTTACCAGTTCCCATATATATGTTGTTTAATTTTCGAATACTTAATTGGGTATAATATGAAAAAAGCATAACTACTTCCACTTACTAGGAATAACATTTACCTTTTAGTTTAATTAATAAACTGAGTTTTAAATATGTTTACTAAATTCATAAACTTCGGTAAAACATTCGGTAAATTATTTCCAAAGGAACTAGACTAATACAATTTCAACCTGGCGAGTAGCGACTTATAAACAAGACACTTCGTTTGATGCTTTTACTTGTTGCTAGAAATCAGGTTCGCAGAAAATGCTGTTTACTAGTTAAATTTAGTAGGAATAACACGATCTGTGACGTAGGCTATAGTATACCCAATTATTTGACTCCTTCTGATGCGAACCATAAAAAACTAAATTCATCTTGATCAGTTGGAAAAACACCATCTGTAGGTGCCATTTACCATTAGTAGTACAATTCAAAGTTCAAATTGGACTATATTGTCACAAAAAATGCATGCTTATCCCAGGAGTATAAAAAATATTGATAAATCTAGTTTTATTACAATATGTTTAATATTTTTAGGTATATTGGCTAGGGCCAGGTATAGGAGGACTATTAGCTGGATTAATATACGAATACATATTCGAATCTNAAACGGTAGTAAATTCGGCCTGGCCAGACCCCTGTATACGAATACATATTCGAATCTTCTAAGAAGATAATGCCAATTTATAAAGAAAGAGTTGATTCTGAAAGAGGTATTGTCACACTTAATTAATAATAATATTTATTTCATCAAGACATTTACAAGTGTTATAGAAATATTTTATTGGAGTCACAATTTAAATGCATTGAATAATATTTTTACATGTGAACTTTCAGAATAAATGATATCAATTTATTTATTGCCGCACTATTTTTGTAATTAATAAGTATTTAATCAAAACATCTTACTAGTGTAACAAAGATATTTTATTTTTGTTACCGTGATCTAAATATATTGATTACACGTTAATCTGATTTTTTACATCCATAAAAGTGTTTTATTAAATTTAAAGTTTTTAAGTTATACTAGGGATTACTGGTGTAGCAATACAAACTAAAAGAGACACATTTTTGGTTTATTTTACCTACTATTTGCACTGCTCATTGCGATATGACAATTTCTCGTTTTATATGAAGCTTTAAATTACATTGTACGACCGGTGGCTGAGTGGTAGTGCTTCGCGCTCCCGTGCCACAGGTCCTGGGTTCGATCCTCGGGCCGGGCAAGGTTGACTCAGCCTTTCATCCCTTCAGAGGGTCGATAAATGAGTACCAAGCATGCTTGGGAACTAAACACTGGGGGTTTCGCTTTCGGCTGATCACCTAACCGGAACATCTGCTCTCACATCTTAGAGTACAAGGTCAAGAAAACTGAGATGGGCACAATAGGCCTTGGCCCTCTATGGGCTGTCGCGCGTTTAGTTTAGTTTAGTTTTAAATTACACTGATGAGCAATTTTTTATTCTGTTGCATGTGATTTTTAAACGGATTGTTTTAAAGTCTTCAAAAGTAACAGTTTTATGCAATTCAATATTATATTCCTAACCCGGTTCTTTTTAAACTCACTAAAGTTAATACTAAGCTTCTCCACTTCTCTGCTACGTAAGGAGTGGTAGGGGAAGAAGGTGATAATACATTTCAGTTTATGCTGTGATGTGTTAAGGTCATATGGTTTTGTTTTATTTCAATGAAGTATTATTTTCAATAGAGTAGACAAGTGCATCCCTCTAACTTCTACGGAATCTCAGTAGTTTTAGAAAATAATTTTCCTTGTGATGCTCAGGTAATACTTTAATATTTTGAAGTTCTTATAAAAATTTCAATTTTTTTAAATATTTGTTTTAAGAATTTATCCTTTAGTTCGTTGCCACTGATTTATATATATTTCGCATTAGACTCAAATATTGTAGGGCATGCAATGCAAGTGCATATAAACCAATACCTTCTTGTACCAATACGTTGTCGAAACTTGTACATTCGGTCAAAAAATAAACTTAACTAAAAATATCATTTTGAAAAAAAAAAATCTTTAGATTTTCGAACAGAGCTAATTTCAGATTTGAAATCCTCACACCCGAATAAGGTACGAGGCTTGTATGAATGCAATTGAAAATTTGATTCTCTGTGTTACTTAAAGAAATCTTTTAGATTATCGAAACTATATTTGTACTAAAGTATATAACCCCAAAAGAAAATAAGAAGTTTGATTTTATTTCCATTTATATTTCAAAATTAATCAATAACTGAGTTTGTAAATTAAAGAAATTTCGAAGATGAGTAACTGTTTTTCCTAAGTCTAAATAACTGCAAATTTGAAAAAATTATTGTTTAGAAGTGAGCCGTGTTAGAAAGATTTAGAGCCTTCACGTGATTGTTGTCAAAAACTGCAATCAAATGTGCTCAGAAATAACTGCAAGTATTTAAATGATTTAGTGGTTAACTTTACCATCTCGTCAAATTTGTCCCCAAATCATTAAATTACGATAAAACAGTTATTTCTAGGTCTCTTTGAGTTATATTTTAAACAATATTATGAAACACATAATTAAAGCAATATTAAGGTAGTTTGGACAAATAAAAGTAAAGTTACAAATACTCTCGAACAGCCAGGTCAAAAGGAGGAGGTACCCCTAGCGGGGTATGGTGAAATTTCCGGATATAGGTTGTTGTGCATTTCTTATGGTGTGCCACCCTATCTTCAAGATTACAATCACCCTATACATATTTTTTTTACAATAAATAGAGCTTTCATTCATCAGAAACTTCTAGCAAACAAGTAAATTCTGCCATCGTATTGTTTTTTTAAGGCAGATAAAACAATTCAGAATACTGCTTCAAAATCTTTCAATGAACTGAAAAAGAATTAAAAAAAACTGAAATGCGAATTCCAACACCACACAAATCTTTGGTTATAAGACGAATTTCTATTATAGATAAATTTCGTTGCATACGCTATTTGAAGTCCAGTTCAATCCAGATTACATTTTCAAAAAGTATTTTAAGCTTTCTTTTACGTACGTACCACAATGTAATAATATCACAATATATAAGTAAATACAAATTTGAAAAGTAAACTTCATTCGAAAACAACTGTTTTCTGGAGATAGAGTGAAATACGGAAAAAATGGAACAGACAATAAGGAGCTTAAAGAGTAAAGTCTATCTCTAGCGGTGGAACAAAAATAAGTATAGTTTGGATTTTTTTTTTAACAATGCAATGGAATAAATCATGGCTCAGGAAAAAGTCTTTTTTCTACGATACAACTAGTCAATTCTAAAAATTTATTTTTTCGATGTTACGCAAAACAAAGACCTCTCAGTGAAACCTCGCCAAAGAGTGTATGAGCGAATTAATATCATTCGCAACTTTTTAACTAAGACAAAAAAAATTATTATGATTATATATATACGAGAATAGTTTTAGAACAGTGGTTACCAACTGGCGGCCCGCGAACCACATTCGGCCCGTGAAGTCTTTGCTTGCGGCCCGTGAACTAAAATATATTAGTTGTCTTTTTTGCCGACAATTTTGATAGAAAATCTACACTGGTTATCATAAATTAAGGAAAATTCACAAAAATCGCGATAACTCAAGAAATTACACATGGAATTTTATGAAACTTACCCACAATATACAACACATAGTAAGGTATTAAACAACATAAAAAGAAATTATCAGACATTAATAGTAGTATAGAAATTAGCACATGTATAAAATAAACAAATTGGAAGTATCGGTTTGCAATAGAAAAAGTACCTTTAATATGGAATATGATTGCCTCTAGAAGCAATACAGCACAAACAGCGATGTGTGATGCTTTCAATTATGCGGTCTATCAGTTCAATAGGAAGTGAGAGCCATTGCTCTTGTAAAGCAGTTGCAAGCGTGGCAAGGGTCTGAGGGGGCGGATTGATGGCAGATACACGCCTCCCTAGAGCATCCCAAACGTGCTCGATAGGATTCAAGTCCGGGGATCGAGCTGGCCACTCCATGCGAGTAATTGTTTCCTGTTGAAGATAATCATCAACAATGCGAGCTCTGTGTGGTCTTGCATTATCGTCCTGTAACAGGAAGCAATCACCAATTGCCCCGGCATATGGGCGCACATAAGCATCAAGGATGTTGTCTCGATAAACCTGAGCATTCACGGTTCCCCTTGGAAAGACATGGAGGTATGTGCGCCCTCCTAAGGATATGCCTCCCCAAACACAGACACTGCCTCTTCCGTATGCATCTCTTTCACGGATGTTTGATGGATGATAACGGGTCCCAGGTTCTCTCCATATCAAATAACGTCTACTGTCACTTTCTAGACTAAACCTGGACTCATCCGTAAAGAGAACAGGCCTCCATTGATCTGACGTCCAGTGGACATGTTGTCGGGCCCACTGCAAACGGTCTCTCCTATGGCGTGATGTGAGCGGCACGCAAATGGCTGGTCGTCTCGCATACAGACCACCTTCGTGGAGCCTTCTGCGCACAGTTGACGTTGACACCAACCTTCCGGTGGCTGCAGCAAGAGAGGATCTAAGATGTGTCGGAGTAGCGGTTCTATTCCTGCGTGCACTTAATGTCAAATATCGGTCATCGGCACTGGTCGTAACAGTTGGCCGTCCTTGACTGAACCTCCTAGATGCCGAATCTGTGGTTTGAAATTGCCTCCAAAGTCTATGAACCACAGATGGACTCACATTTAGCCATCTGGCCACTTCTGATTGACTCTGCCCTGCCTCTAGTCTCCCGATGGCTCTCCATCGTAGTTCTTCAGGCAAATGATGCCTAGAGGTCATTATTACGAATTGGCTATCTCAGATTTTCAATGTCGCAATCACAGTAAAATTTGTGTGCTTTCTCTCAAACTTGGACTTTTATGCTCCAGGCAGATGACGTAAGCCGAGTGCAGCGCCACTAATTTGCATATTGCAATTTTACTCAGCTACTCTTAGTGGACAACATATGCAAATTTTGCACGGTTTGGCTTACTTTTGAAAGAGTTATCGCTATTTTTGTGATTTTTCCTTAATTTATGATAACCAGTGTATATAGGTTTAACAAACTTTTCTTCGTTAAAAAAACCAAATTTTTTCGTTTCTGTAAAATTTTACATACCAACGGTGCAAAATATTTTTCTCTCATGTAAAAATCTACTTTTAATTTTAATTTGTAATTCAATACTTTTGTTTTGTACGACTTGATAAAAATTTGACAGTTATATTTAGTGTTCCGTCAAGCATAAAGGAGTCCTATATAAAATTTTGATAAAGTTGCGGCCCGCCATTTGACTGATGATTTTAATTGCGGCCCCCGGCCTCATGTAAGTTGGAAACCCCTGTTTTAGAAGAATGCAGAGAAATTTAATGTACCAATTTTTGAAAAACTGTCGTTTTTTTTCTTCGTAAGAAATAACCAAAAAATTCTTTATAAAAAACTTTAAGTATTTCTGCAATGGGAGTAAATTTAAATAGACAATTTAAATTTCAAGTCATAAATTCAATAGGTGGCTATTTATTCGAATTAGGTTGTCTGGTCGACTAGAAAAGTTTAGGTCCCAGTAAAACGCTTTTGAAGTTTCCTGTACTCAGGCAGTAAATAGTTAAAAGCTGAGCAAAATTGAAGAATTCCTTAACACTAGAAAGACTGAAATTTAGTATATACCTATTGCCCAAAAGCAGTAAAAATGATTTGATTGTAAAAGAATAAATAATGTGTAAAGAAATTTGTTTAAAATCAATTTGTTTAAAATCAATTTGTTTAAAATTAATTCTTAATATTTTTACATTATTTACAGTTATATAACAAGTTATTAGTAAATATTAAGAATTAAAAAAATTATATGTTGCACAAAATTCTAAGAAATTGTGTCATTATATAGATCATTGTTTTTCTAATTGAAAATAAAAGCAGTCAAAATGACTTCCTTAGGCAATCTAGTATTAAATATTTCTCTTCTGGTAAACTTTTTGAGGCAACAATTCGGCAACAATTAACCGAAAAATGATTTTCGCAAAATAATAGAGTTTTTCCTCAGCTTCCAAGCTGACTTCTGTATGAATAGTTGAGAACATATTATTCAAATTTCCTCTACTCTCCATTGGTCATAGATAAAAAAAGCACTAATGTGCTAAAAAAGTGCGTTTATTTAAAGAGAACATATTTTTGTTTCTAATTTTGTATGTAAATAAATAACTAGTCCTATACCCCGAGAACTATTAACATGAGAAAATGTGAAGTTGTTGCCCAAAAGTTGCAGCTATTGTGATAAATCAATACTAGGCATTATGCTAAATTGGCGAGAATATTACTTCATGATTTGTCTGTTGTTAAAAGAATTGTTAAAAACTTAAAAAACCTATTCAGGAAAGAATTACCTAATTTCAGATCTAATTAGTTATACTAATTAATTAAGTAGTAATAATAATTAGTAATTCTACTATAACAATTAGCTAGATCAATATTAAAACAATATCCTTCAAAAACAAATTACGATTTACTATTTCCATTTTCTGAAAGAAATTTCGCATTTTCTTCAAGACTCAACTATGACATTTGAATTGCGATTAGTACATCACTAGTTATTGAAGTTTTCAATTTTTTGGGCCAGTATACTATGTTATACTTGTATAAAAGTTTGTTACAGTTTAATTTGCTATTTTTTAGCGTAAAAACAATTGTGTAACAGTCAGATAAATTCAAGTTATGTTTAGGTAATGAAAAAAATAAAATTACATTACTAAGATTCAACGTGTAATTTCTTTCGGAAAAATATGTTGACTTAGCAGTTTAAGAATTTATTACCTATCACGAAAACGTTGTTGTTGCCGTATGCCTGTTTAGGCAGAGGGGTTCGATTGTTCTTGTTTTCCAGTGGCGCCATCTATGGCCAAGAATTCTACCTCTGTCACACCCATACCTCAAACCCGTTTATAGGGCGGACCCATTCATACATCCATTCATTCATCCACAGATCGTAATTTTGACCTGAATAAAAGAACGATAGATCTCCAATCCAGTACCCCCAGAGGTATTGACTTGTTATGGGGACATGGAGGACTTTGCGACTCGACAGATTTAACGTGCATCAGTCACCATTTACTACACGGGGAGTCTTCGGCCGGCGGGGTTCAAATCCACAAACTGTCGGACATGGGCCCAGCCCCCTACCAACCCGGATATCCTGCCCCCTTGCACAAAAACGTTTAGGACCTTTATTGCAAATTTCATGATTTTTAATGATTTTTGAGTAAACTAATTTTTAAGCTGCAATTTCTCATTCAAATCACAGAGCTTAAAAAATTCGCTGAGGGACAGGAATTAATTTTTAAAAATAAGTAATTATTAACAGATACATTACACGCTCGTCAGAACGGGAGTTTAAATCCAACCGGCTCCAGAACTATTCAGTTCTACTCATATGGTGACTTCAGCACGTTAAATCTGTCCGGTGAAAAAGTCCTCCATGTCCCCATAACAAATTATACCTCTGAGGGTTACTGGATTGGAGATTGATCGTTCTCTGGTTCAGGTCAAAGTTACAATCTATGGATGGATGAATGAATGGGTCTGCCCTCTGACCGAGTGTGACGTATGGGTCGAATTCTTATGGGAGGTCGAATTCTTAGCCATAGATGGCTCCACTGGAAAACAAGAACAATCGCACGACCAATTCCTTGATGGCATACAACAGATCCATTGGAAGTAATTTTTGTTTGAGCCATTGAAGAAAAATTAGTAAAAAATTGGAAAAAACATGGCAATCAAAGCTGACGTCATCAGGAGGTACCAGCCTTGACTTGTCATAAAATGCAAAACTTTTTCTATCGAGAAAAGCTAAGACAAAAGTAAAAAAATTCACTTTCTCTGTACCCCAAAAGTTTTGCCCAGGTTCAGAAAAATACAAGAATAAATCGAAATATATGTTATGTTTTAAAGCTTCTGTACTTTACTGTATTGTATGACATATTTTTCTATTTATTCTTGTATTTTTCTGAACCTGGGCAAAACTTTTGGGGTACAGAAAAAGCGAATTTTTTTGACTTTTGTCTTAGCTTTTCTCGATAGAAAAAGTTTTGTATTTTATGACAATTCAAGGCTGGTACCCCCTGATGACGTCAGCTTTGATTGTCATGTTTTTTCCAATTTTTTACTAATTTTTCTTCAATGTCTCATTTGTTTAATTCCTCTTGGTTTCCTTGCTGCTAAGCGCATTTTTTCCATTTGGATGTATTAACCTTTTCAATATTTTTTAATTTTTATTTTTGCATTAATATTTTGATTTCTTTTCATAATTTTGTTTGAACCGATAGACCCTCTGAGGTATTATAGATTTGTCTTATTAGCCTAACACAAAAATGTCTTATTAGCCTAAATTTTTTTTCTTTTTAGGCCTATTTAAAAAAAAAAAAAATTGGGGTTTCAACAAGCGTTGTTGACTTGAAAAAGTGAAATCGAGAAAATATAGCATGTTTTCAAAATAATTAACAAAGGATTCTTGTTGGGTGGTGGAGATTTTATTAAGTTTGAACTAATTATCTTAAAATCATGCTTTAAAATTGTGACAAGCTTTAAATTTTTTTTTCCAAACATTTTTTTTGTCGTATGCCTGTTTAGGCAGTGGGGGTGCGATTGTTCCTGTTTTTCAGTGGCGCCATCTATGGCCAGGAATTTGACTTCTGCCATGCCATTTACACAACCACAACCCGTTTATAGGGCGGGTCACATTCACGCACAAAGGAGAAAGGTCATAGAACGCACAGAGAGAGAAATAAACATCCATGCCTTGCCCGGGATTCGAACCCAGGACCTTTCTGATGCAATGACAGTTCCCTGCCCCCTACACAGCCCGGCCAGCTTTTCAGAATATAACAATTTATAGTAATATATTTATGTTTCAGATATTTCCGAAGCTAAAGATGACAGCGACAGCAAATCTTCTACAGCTTTGTCAACACGAACGCAGATACCTCCGATACCTTTACAGCATCCGCCTTCAGCAAAGGGTCCATACTACAGGCCTTTAACGCCTCATGAGGCAACCACAACGCTTAGACCACATACTCGGAATGCTTACACATCAACAGCAACATCGAAATATGTGCCTAGTCCAAGTACTTCTCATCAACAGCTTCACAATTCTGGGTACTACAATTCGCTGCCTAGGGGTGCCGGTACTTATAGGTCATGGAATGAATACGGCAACTCTTCTCAATTCAAATTTTGATTCGAAATCTCAGTTTAATGAATAAATGTGAAGAATTTACTTATAAAGAATTTTCAATATTAAAAGAAATTGTTTTGAGGTTATGAATGGGAGATGTCCTTATATGGAAGCGGATTTAAAATATTGCCATAGATTGACTGTTGATTGGTGAAAAATGCATAAACTAATTCATAAAAATACTATAGAATGTCAGATGGTGATGATGCATTATGAATATCGTGATTCTTTAAAATATCTATATTTATTCATTCGCATTCTAGAAAGATGTTTTATTCCAAGTCTATGTATATACATTCCACGGGCTTAAGTCATTAGAAATTTTTTTAGAATATTTTTCATTTTTTTTAAAAAAAAAATCTGAAGTCCTGGTTAAACGAATGAAGTTTCAATTTTATATTTAAAAATAATTTTATGTGGTTCTATATTGTATGCTTTTACTAGTAATTCAAAAATAGATGTTTCCATAAAAAATTTTCTCAATAGCATTTGTTATGATTTGCATATTATTGTTATTATTATTTTCAGATTTATTTTATGATCGCTTTTGTTGTATTTTACGAGCTGCTCCTTAAAAACTTATTTAGATACATGTTATTTCTATTGAATTTTTATTGAATATTTCAATTGATTATTATTTCAATTAAATTAATTATCATTCTATCGACGTTGGCGCCGAGTTATGTGTCATCTAATAATATAAAGTGAAAAGCTTAGTGAAAGAAGGTTCTGTGACATTTTTGAAAAATTTAAAATTATTTCATATATTTTAAATTGTTTTTTTTTCTTATTTAATAAAACGGCATTAATTTATTTGGCCAAGTCTTTTAATTTCGTTGATCTCAATGTATGAAGGCATTTAGTGAGAATCTTTGGGTGTTTTCGGGTAGATTCCAAATTGCATTTGGCATCAACGAGTCTACTACAAACCTGAGAAGGTTTGTTTTTCGGCAGCAGATTAAAACGCCAAGATTATGAATGCAAGGATTACGCCAACTTGAGGAATGCAGATAAGAAATAAACGCGATTTATAATCTTTATTTTATACTGCCAACGTATAAAATTTTGAGTTAATTTGCTGAAATTCATTTAAATGTCACTAAAATCCTTCACCCACTTTACTTTTCCTAATATCGAAATTGAATTGTTCCATAGGCATTTTTAAAGATTGCTGTCACACTTAAGAAATACACACTTAGAAATACGTGACTTTTCCTTTATTCTGTTGATATTGAAAAAATTACTGCTGAGAAATTTATTGAAAATTTCCAAATTTATTTTCTAAAATATATTTTTCTCTCTCAATTATTAATTTCATACTAAATGGTTAACTAAAATTAATGATTATTTTTAACGATTAATATTAATTTCAGAGATTGAATGAATGATATTATTAATAATTTCCACAGAAATTTGTAATCAATATATAATGAATATAATTTGTAATAAATATAATTCATTATAAATTTATTTAATGCCATTATTGAGGGTGTTATTTTAATAAACTGTTTCTCAATTCAAAACACTATCAGTTTTTTATCTAACGAACTTTATTTATATCACTCAAAATGGTCAATTGAATCAAATTTTTTGAAACAAATTGCTACTAACTCTTCCTTGTAACTCAATATAAAAACATCTTTAAATGTATTATTATTAAATGCAATAACATGCAATTTAAATTATTGGAAGCCAATTATTAAATTTTTTATTTAATTTTGCATTTTTTTTAAATTTTAGTTTTATGACATAATAGTGATTCGATGAGAACGATTTTAAGTTCATTATTTTTAAATTTGATTCCGAAAACTTTCGCTCTGATAAATGTCAGGAAGTACTTTTTGCCCAATCCATTATCTTTCTTGACATACATTGTTCTTACATTGACATACATTGTTCTTACATTAAGCTGCACTTCTCTTTGCTGACTTTTGTAGATACTACTTTTGCACTCTCAGGAATTTCCGTAAAACTTGCAGAGTTGGGCGATAATTTAAACTGCCAGCTCCCTTCTTAGAAGAAAAAAGCAGTAGCCATAAATATAAAAAGCTTCAGAATGAATAGAGTTAATTGTTTATTTATACGGTAAATATATAAACCTTCCTTACTCGATTTGGAGGTGTTGCACTCTTTTTCGTGGAGGTTACAGCATCACTGTGGACATGAGTCCCGGGTTCGAATCCAGCTCGGGTAAAAGAGCATCTTTCTCGCACATCTCCTAACCTTCCTATAAAAGCACCCTTCTCATTCGTCGACAGATGGCAGCACTATACTATGTTGTCTCCTTTCACGGTTTACCTTAACTCGACAAACAAGTCGTTTACGTCTCAAAGAACGTCATGGTTCAAATTGAAGACAATTTTTACAATAACAATAATTTACGGTAACTGGCCAAATATTTTACAGGGAAATATTTGCAAGCAGACTTGTATATTTATGTTCACGACAGCGTTACGGGCATAAATTTACTATCGGTTGCTGATCGAAATCCAGTGGTTAATTTTTCTTAAGTTTAAAACCTATTTCATTATTTTTCTCCAACGGTTTCTGTTATACAATTTTGACTTTAGTGAATTTTATTGAGGCTATAAGTTCTATCGCTATCGAGGTATTTTTTCTGCTCACAATGCACTTATAATTTTCGTAGGATTTGTTTGAATTCTAGGAAAACGTTTCGGTAAAATAATATCTTCTTATTTATGAAAACCATACAATGTATGCTTTTTCATACTATGTAACCATAGCTTTTCTCTTTCAACAATTATTTTGTTCTAAATCGGAAATTTTAAAAATAAGTTATAAAAAACATGTTATTTATTTTAAGAAGAATGTTGAAAAAATAAATAGAGTTATTACATGCCAAAGTATATTAAAATGTTTTATACTTGAATCTCTTTTGTTTTTTAAAGTATAAATTTGCAGTAAAAAGTCATCATAGTTGACGGGTGCATGTTTATATAACTTTAATCTCATATTAAGTTGAAAATAGAACGAGAGACTAATATTGTTATTTCTTTTAATAAATTCGCTAATTCCACATTTTTGTTAGAGTTAATTTATTACTGTTTGAAAAGTTTTTTAAATATAATAATGTGATTACAACTTAATTATTACTGATCCAAAAATCCTTTTGTATAAATTACTTTTCATATTGATTCAAAAATATCTTGTTTAAAAAAAATTGCAAAATTTTTTAGTTTTTTTGTCAGTGTTTGTTTTTCTCGAACTTCGTCTTCAGTTTTCTCGTTTATTATTCGATTTTCTGAAATTTTTTACAGATAACTCGATATAAATGCTCTCTTTGCATGCATTTCACCTGCTAATAAATTTTGCGCTGAATAATATTCGAATTATATGCTGAAATCAATTTGAACAAGCTATTTAATTTTTTTCAGCAGAATTAAATTAAAAGATTCATGAAGGTTACATTCACACTTTATGAAAAATATTACTTCTCTCACTGCACACTTTAACAGCCACCTACCTTGTTAGATTTTAAATATTTTCTAGAGGATTTATGGATATTTAAAACGCATGCTTTCTTCTAATGTATATTACTTGTTATATTAATATAGATTTTTTGTTATTGTTATAAAAATATTTTGCAATTAATTTTTTGATAATAAGCATCGTAACTTTGGAAGTCCTTGGTTCAATTCCGTAGTTAAAAACACTATTTCAGGTGCATATGAAATTATCTACATTGTAAAAAATTCCTTATCAAATGACGATATAAAGTACCGGCACTTTCGATGCATGATTCGTAAAATCCCTTTTTACCGTGAAAAGTTATACCGTAATTTTTGAAGTATTTTTTTAATTTTTAAGTAGAGTGATTTACGCTAATTATTACCGTAAAAATTACAGTGTATTCGTTTTTCGTTCTGTAACATGTTCTGGAAAAAATGGAATTTACGATGAGTGCCGATACTCTTTACCGAAATTTGATGCGGAATATTTTACAGTGTATTTGCAGTGTAGTAATGTTATTTGACTTGAAAATATTGATTAAAAGTTTCCTTCTTGCCTATTAAGTCCATAAGTTTAACGTTGTACTTTATTTTTCTTTAAATAAAATTACGTAAATATCATTCAAAAGTCACTTCATAAAGTAAAATATGCATTATTGAAAGTGTTTTCTCGAATATTTTCAATGATATTCAAATATGAATTCATAAAAAATAATGTATAATAATCGAGTTTTAATAATTTTTTGAAAAAGTGAGCACTTTGTGCAATCGGATAAACATTGAAAAAAAAAATGTTTTTATTGTATCATAGCGAAATTTACTAGAAATCAATTAACTATGGAATATATTTCATTAAAATCTATGAAGCATAATTTATTATCCTATTTTATATTTTATTAATATTTTTGTATTTTTAAGTGACTGACTTTAAAAACTATTAATTTAAAATTTTTTAATCATCTTTTTATAAAATTTAATCCGAATAATCTGACTCTAAATCTATTGAAATAATTTCATTTATTAATAGAAATTATGTTAATTTTTTCGAACTTAATAATCAAATATCGTCAATAAAACTTATGGGGAGTGCTTTATTTATCAGCTATTATTTTTTGCTGGTAATTTTTGTAATGAAAAATAAATTGATTGAACTTCTACATTTGCTTGTATACTAACTTATTGACTTACACATTCTAAAACTAGTATTAAAAATCAATTTGTTCTGTATTTTACACTAAATTTATACGCATTAGTTTTTTTTAATTAACTTACTTGGCTTTTTTATAAGTTCATTCATTAACAAATGTAATACATATATATATATANTTCTTTAAAATAATGTTTTAAAAATATATTAATTTTATAATTTTTCTCCTTCCCTTTTTCCTTATTATATTCCATGCATGTTTTCTCCGTGTTTTCAACTTCATATATATATATATATATATATATGAAGTTTTACATAAAATTGAGATTGTTTGCTTGTAAACATTATTTGTAAATTGATTCTTTTCAAAGTTGATAAAAATTATTTACTAAACTTGGTTACTAAAATTAATTTAATCTCAAAATTAGATAATAAAATAATTATCAAACTACATTATTACTCATAAAAATCATTATTTAGTCATTAAAATTAGAGCTTGTTTTTCTTGTGAATTTTGATAACACTAAAAACTCCATAACGAAATAAATTTTAAAAATAAGCATCTTAAGTATGTTTATGAAATAATTTTTAAAAATATATGTGTGGTAAAAGAATTTGCTGCACACATAAATTTAAATCAAACACAACAAATTTACAATATTTACAAATATTTTATTTCACAATAATCTCATCAGATCGCATGTGTATATACATATATACCTTTATATGGAAATAAGTATTTTGTGAGTTCACAAAAGATAGACATGATCATTATAAATACATTATAATTATTATTTTTTTTATTTTGAAGACTGTTAGAGAAACGTGCATGGGAATGTAAAGTTTAAGACCAACATCTACAACATGTAAA